AGAGGATGAGGAGGAGAGGGTGGAGGAGGAGGAGGAGGAGCAGGAGGAGGAGGAGCAGGGGGAGGAGGAGGAAGATGAGGGCCGTGAGCGGAGGAGGAGGAGGAGGAGGAGGAGGAGGAGAGAAACGAGAAGGAGGAGGAGGAGGATCAGGAGGAAAGGTAGGTAGCCAGGCTGAGGAGGATGACGAGGAGCAGGAGGAGGAGGAGGAGGAGGAGGAGGGGGAGGAGGAGGATGAGGTCTATAAGGAGATGGACTAGAGGAGGAGGAGGGGAGGACGAGTGAGGGGAAGGAGGGAGGACGAGGAGAAGAAAGAAGGAAGAGGAGGAGAGAGAAAGAGGAGGAGGAGGAACTAGAGGAGAAGAGGAACGAGAGTAGAAAGAGGATGTGGGAGGGAAAAGGACGAGACGAGAGAGGAGGAGGAGAAGGAGAAGGAGGAGGAGGAAGAGGAGGAAGGAGGAGTGAGGAGGGGGGAAGAGGCGGAGGAGGCGATGAGGAGGAGACGAGGATAGGGAGGAGGAGGAGGAGGAGGAGGAGGGGAGGAGAGTGAGGAGGAGGACAGTGAGGAGGAGGAGGAGAGGAGGAGGAGGAGGGGATGAGGAGGAGGAGGAGGAGGAGGAGCGAGGAAGAGGCGGAAGGAGGGAGGATGAGGAGGAGGAGGAGGACGAGGGAGGAGGAGGAGGAGGAGGGGAGGAAGACGAGGCAGGCGAGGAGGAGATGAGGAGGAGGGGAGGAGGAAGGAGCGAGTGAGAGAAGGAGGAGGAGAAAAACAGGGAGGAGGAAGAGGAGGAGAAAGAGGGGGGAGGAGGAGGAGGAGGAGGAGGAGGAGGAGGAGGAGGAGGAGGAGGAGGAGGAGGAGAAAGAAGAGGGAGGATGAGGAGGAGGAGGACGACGAGGAGAAGGAGGAGACAGAGGAGGAGAAGGAGGAGGATACTAATTATAATGCAACTACTAGTCATAGTAAGAGGAGGACGAGAAGGAAGGAGGAGGGGGAGGAGCAAGGCTCCCAACAAAGAGCGTGAACGTAGTACGCCCTGATGATGTTGATGATGATGAGATGATGATGATGATGAGATGATGGTGATGCTGTTGATGATGATGATGATGATGATGATGATGATGATGATGATGATGGTGCCCCGATGATGATGACGATGATGATGATGATGATGATGATGAGGATGACGATGATGATGATGAGGTTGATGCTGATACTGATGCTGAGTTTGATGATGATGCTGATGATGATGTTGATGATGATGAGATGATGATGAGGTGATGGCGATGATGATGATGGTGTCCCGATGATGATGATGATGCTGATGATGATGATGTTGATGATGGGGATGATGAAGAGGTGATGGTCACGATGTTGATGAATGTGGCCTGGTGATGGTGATGATGATGATGCTGATGTTGATGATGGTGATGATGATGGTGCCCCGATGATGATGCTGATGATGATGCTGATGATGATGGTTCCCCGATGATGATGATGCTGATGATGTTGTTCATGATGATAATGATGATAATGATGATGATTGTGGTGTTCCGATGATGATTTTGATGTTGGTGGCCCGGTGATGGTGATGATGATGCTGATGTTGATGATGACGATGGTGTCCCGATGATGATGTTGGTGATGATGATGTTTATGATGGTGATGAGGTGATGATGATGATGATGCTGATGATGATGATGATGATGATGGTGTCCCGATCGTGATGATGCTGATGATGAGGATGATGATGATGTTGATGACGTTGATGACGTTGATGTTGTTGATGATCATGATGACGTTGCTTGTGACATCGATTGTGAGATCGATAGTGAGACCGAATGTGAGTTCGATTGTGAGATCGATCGTGAGATCGATAGTCAGATCGATGGTGAGATCGATAGTCAGATCGAGTGTGAGATCGATCGAATGAAATAGATCGAGTGAGATCGATTGTGAGATCGATCGGGTGAGATCGATCGATTGAGACCGATAGTGAGATCGATAGTGAGATCGATAGTGAGACCGATCGAGTGAGACGTTGGTTCCTCCCCCCCCGAACCTCCTTATCACCCGAAGGGTGGTCGTATAGGT